ATGGTGCCGCCTCATCTACTAAATATACACTCTATGGCTAACTGATTTGTAGGACTATTCCTCCTATTCCTGCTTACCTTTAAGAGGCTTGGTTTGATTGGCAGGCTCACACACACCTCCTCCTCTGTCAGTCTGCTTGAAGATGATTTGTCAACTACTTATACCAAGCCATTTTCATTGATTTTAAGTGGTGAGGAGAGAAGTTGGGAATATATTTCCTTTCTGTTCTATACCACATGTGTATCTTTCCACATGTCTAGTATTGGCTATTCAAGATTGTAGTAGTGTTGGGGCAACTAGACAGGTATAAGTCATGTGGGTCCCTAGCTGCTCAGGGCTTGTCTCTTGGTTGTTCTTATCAGATTAGGTCCCTCCACACCTGCCAGGCACTGCAGACCCCTGGAAGTGTATTTTTCTAAGTGTACTCGTGGGTGGAGAAATACAGTGGGTGGAGAAATACGTTACAGTAGTGGGTGGGAAGGCTAATCCTCCCTTTATTTGTTTAGTTCTCAAAAAACTTGAACAACAGGTTTAACTCAGGTCTATGCCATTTTAATGCAAATTTTATACAGGTGTAGTTATGGCACTCCTTTTTGCTTATATGCCAGATGGCAAAAAAAATCTGTTCTGAGTAAGAATGCCTGTGATGTGACTTAGTGTTTGTGAGCTCCTGAGGTTCCATGCTCTCCCTTGAGGCTATGTTACCCAGACAACATTCTTCCTCTCCTATTTCTCATACCCTCCTCACGTTAAGTCAGCAGCACTGCCCAACACACTTTAGACGTGATTCTTTAGTGAAGCAATTTCCAAACTTGCCCAATTTTAAAGGCTCATTGCAAGGCATTTGTTAGAAATACAGGTATCTGGGTCTTAACCCAGACGTAGTAAATCAGAATCTTCATGAGAGGGGCCTGGGAATTTGTATTTAAAGATGTGATTCTTAAAAATTGGGCAAGTTTAGAAAACATTGCTTTAGTGCAGCAAAAGCTGTTTAACTTCAGGTGGTGAGAATGATAAGGACACAGACTGTAACTGGGCGATGACAGAAATGTGGAATAACAAATTCAGTTATGTGGGATAACTGAATTCCTCTGTCTGGTCTTGCTTTCTGGCTAAAAGATACATTGATATCTGATGGAGCTCCTTTGCTTTTAGTACTCAGTGATTTATGTACTATTCCTCTCTTCAGGCTAGCCAAGTGTTGCTTTTTTGGCCACATTTGAGGTCTAGCTGTCAAGTTTCAGTAAACTCTTAGTTCACTAAATTTCTCTCCCTGAGCCTTTTGGATCCTGCTAATGTAAAGACCTCTTTTTCTCCCATTTCCAGTTTTCCACCCAAGTACACATGTCTCTTTGATTTATTGTTATCTCACTGCCTCCATTTTATTAATTCATTCAGTCCCTCATTCAATAAGTGTCTATTGTGCCAGGCTGTGGGCGGGCTACAGAGATGAACAAGACACAATTCCTGCCCTCAAGTGCACAGTCTAGTAGGGACACAGATGTGTAAACACATAAAATACCAGTGCTGTGCTAAGTGTTATCATAAAAGTGTATGCAGAGTTGTAGGGTCACTAGGAAGAAGTGACTAATAAGTGGTGGCAGACATCACACAGGAGGTGACTTTTGAGTAGGGCCTTGTAGACACAGACAAGGGGCAGGGCATTTTTAAGTTAGTATGTGGCTCATTACTGTAGTCTTCACATTCTTATTATAGTTCATTTCCTAGGTCTCCGCTTGTTTATAGTTCCATTGGAGCTAATTGGCATGACTAACTTAGGACTCTCTTGATTGACTTTTTTCAAAACTTGAGATGGTTGATTAACATCCAGGATACCAGGTCTAACAGTTCCATGATCATTTTCTGACAGCGAATGGTTGAAACTCTAAGCACTGAAGAAAGCGTTTAAAGGCTTTTCACTTTATTAGAAGTGTTCTGAGCCAGCAGAAGTAGTCTTTGTGTCCTCCAAGGAGAGAGAGAGAAAGGGAGGAAGGGAGAGAGAGTTTGGTGGAGGTAGGGGAGCTTAAGAGTGGGAAATGGGACAGGAGAATGCTCTGTTGTTTCTTTTGCAATAAAATACATGATTTCCTGTTTCTAAGGCTCCCGAATCTCTGCTAGTTGTGTGTATTGTTGAAGTGCTGTATCCACCATAGTTCTAATATCAAGCCTTGCACACAGTATGTAGTCCGTAAATATTTGTTGAATGAATAATGGAATAAATAAATGAATACTGGTGATGTACCAACATATTTCAGTGAAGTCTTTGTTTCATTTCCTGCATTATTTTTGGAAATTTCTTCCTATGACACTAGTAGATCAATGTAGTAACAGCCAATTTAAAATATCTTAATGAACAGATGGATGTAATTTGCTAATTTGACAAGGTTTGCTTTTTATTTCCAAAAAATGTACTGTGGGTTTTTCTTATTTCACTAGACAAACAGAGATGAAGGGCCATTGTGATTAAATTTGTATAGCCTAATAAGTAGATATGATTGCAGTTTTAAAATATTGTTTCTTGAAATAATGGATGTTCAATGTAGAAATATTAGAAAATACAGGCAAGCAAAAAAGCTAAAACCAACCCATAATCTTGCAAGCCATAGCTAACCACTGTTAATATTTTAGTGTATAAAAATCCAGATTTTTTTCTATGCATGTGTGTATGTAAAAATTCTAAAAATTGAATATACTATATAAACCATTTAGTATCTTGCCTTTTTTCCTGTTACACCATCCAATCTTGTTAACAAATATATATCTACAGAATTATTCATTCTTAAAAAATTATTTTTGAGATTATACAGATTATTCAGTCTTTTTAAAACAATCTCTTTTAAAGTATATAAAACAACTGAAAATCCCCCATAATCCTATTCCCCCAAGGGTAAACATTAATGTAGTATATAAAACCTTCCAGACTATTTTCTGTATATATGCAAACATATCTATTACTATTTTTTTTTTTTACAAAATTAGATCCTATTATACCTACTGTTCTGCAACTTGCATTTTACCCTTAAGGTATTTTAGACATTTCCCGTGTCAATACATTTGGAATACCTGCATATTATTATGTAAATTAGAGTTTCTCATTCTGAGAATTATTGACATTATGTACTGGATAATTTTTTGTTGTGGGGATGTCCTGTGCATTGCAGGATGCTCAGCAGCATCCTTGGCCTCTATCTACTAGATGCCAGTAGCACCCTTTCCTCCAGTTGTGACAAAAATGT